AGGCAGACCTTTGGTGGATCCACGAGGGGCCGACTTACAGACAGGAACCAGGGTTCGACTGGGAAAACCTCAAAACACGATTACGAGAATGATTCTATCCAACACACGTAAAAGCATCCATGCACGAAGAGTTTCTCCACTCGAAACAAGGAACGAACACCGTCATGGAATACCATAAACGATTCCTCGAACTAGCACGCTTCGCACCAGAACTAGTCCCCACTGAGGCAACCCAAAGAGAAATGTTTGTATCGGGTCTCAACTTCGAAGCCCGAAAAGCACTAGTAGTAAGCAGACCCCGGACCCTCAACGTGGCTTACTCCAGTGCCGCAAATCTCTATCGGATCCAATTACTGCAACGTGAGGTTCAGGAACAAATTCGAAAAAGGAACACAGGAGGTGGAGCACCACCTATAAAAAGAACGAGAAACGACGCCAACACAAGGCCAAGCAATCCTGTCAGCCAGAAGCCACCCCTAGGAAACAACGAAACTAACGCAAGAAGCTTCCCTTGCCCAAAATGCAACAAAAACCATAGAGGCAAAGATTGCATGGGCAACCCCTGGTGATGCTTCAACTGCGGGGAAGAAGGGCACAAGGCCTTCCAGTGCACACAACCCCAGAAATCACGCCCCACAACCATGGGCCAACACGGGGGCACGAATCATCAAGGAAATTACGGTGCCCCCGGAAAGGTGTTCATCATAAGCCGCACCCAGGCCGAACTCGAAAACGAAAGCAACCTCGAGGAAGGAGACATGGCTCCAGGGGACGAGGACCACACAAACCCACCAGAAGAGAACCAAGGAGATGAATTCTGTTTAGGATAACTGGCAAATCCCTTGAAACCACCCTCATAGTAGAATTACTTGCTTAGATTAGCTATTTCGGAGTTATTATAAATAAAGAGCTAAATCAAAATTAATTTTAGCATAAGGGAAAAAGACTAGATTATGCACGTCAACAACAAAAGGGGACAAAACCAAATCTTCTACCACTAGAAGACGAAAGAAGGAAAAAAACAAGGAATACACAATAAGGAAGACTAATGTCATCAAAGGGGAACTAAACTCTAGACCTCCCATTTGCAAGCCCAAACACCTAACCACTAAGCCATGAGTGTTTCTTGAAACCTCAAGGGAACACTCCCTTCTTAAAACCCTTGCAATCCCTAAAAATTCTCAAAAATCCATAAATAAAAACCCTTCTTCTTCTTCTCCCAATCACCCAATCTCTCTCTTTCCCCTTCCCTCCAAAGTCGCCATCACCACCCTCACCTCCACAACCCACCATCGCACCACCATCCGTCGCCCACGACCGACGCTCCGCCCCGCCACCGCAACCAACCGGCGGCACCCCATCCACATGCCACCACCACAGCCGGCAGCCACCCGCCGCTCGCCCACACTGCACCCGGCTGCAACCCGCTGCCACACCACGCCGGCAGCACAGCCAACAACTGCCGCACGCCGCCGCACAACGCCCCCCCCCCCCTCGCCATCCAAACCCAGCAAGAGCACTGCCCCATCGTCGGAAACTGTCACCGAGGCCTCGCCGGAGACTCGCCGGAAAACACCACCTAGACGAAAACCCAAAATGCCAAAAAAGCTCCTCGGAATCCGCACCCCGGAATGGAGCAACGCCGACTTCACCGTGATCAGAGGTAAAGCCCTCGAACCCGACCAATTCTCTCTGGAATTGGTCGATATGCTTAATCACCAAGGGCTTTTGGATACATACCTCACCATTAAAGGGGATACGTACCCCAAATTGGTGAAGGAATTCTATCAACATTTGGTAGCCATCAAACGAGGTGATAAACTAGAAATCACCACTAAGGTCCGAGGCAAAGAAATCATACTTTCCGAAGGCCGCTTGGCCAAACTCTTGAAATTGACCACCACGGTGTGTCAAACTATGACCGGAAAGGGTGGATTGATACACAAAATACGGGGTACAAGGACTACCTCGGGTACCTACTCGGAAAGGAGGAAGGGTTCACCTCGGCCACACCACCGAATAGGAAATGGCTAACTGCGGAGCAAAAGATATTGGTTATGATTGTGACTGACTGCCTTTTGGCCACAAATAATAAAAGCAAGGACGTGGGGAGTTTATAGTGCACTTTTGCCTATCTCTTGAAACACAAAATCAAGTTCAACCTACCGGCCCTCATGTTGAAACACATGGAATTTTGCAAAACTAGCAATCGGCTTAGCCTACCCTACGTGATCATCCTAAGTTGGATCATGGAGAAGAAGGGGGTGGATCTGAGCCACACGGAGATCAAGACCGCAAATGGCATGGTTTTTAATGCCCAGAACCTCCGTCGCATTGATATCTACTACAGCGAAGGGGGACAGTACATCAACCTCGAAGATATTTGCCTGAAACCCGACGAAGAGCGAAGAGAATTGGTTGACCAATTGGACATCTCCAACAAAAAGCTTAAACGAGCAATTCAAGATTGTGGGGGAACAGAGGGAAGTGAGGAACAGGAAGAGGATAGCGAGCCTAACGCACCGGCACCTGCACGAACAGGAGGAAACCCAAGGGGACAAGATGAAGAATCTGTCAATGAGCGCATCCTAGCACAGCTCACTCGGCAAAACCAAATCATGGACGAAGGGTTCTCGTCCTTAATCCACGCGACACGCGCTTTAGATCAGAGGGTGGCAGTAATGGAGACCATCCTGGGCACTCGCGGGGCATCCAGTTCCGGAGCAGGAAACCAAGGTAGACCCGAACTTTCCAATTACCACGTCATCAGAAATCCAGTCTACCCTAGCAAGGACAACACGTGGGGCCACGTTCCTAACAAGGATGCCAAAATACAAGGTGTCCAAGGGTGAAAGAATGGATTAACATTCCGCATTGTCCTCATATAAGATAGTCGGGGAATCAACATTGCTCATTGTTCTGCCTGAGCGATGGATATGCTGTATCAGTGATCTCAACCATACGCATTCGTGTGCGGTTTCATATAAAGCAATTATCTCCGAGTGATTAGATGAGGTAGCAACTAAGGTCTATTTAATGGACCTCCAAGATATAGCTGTACCTCCACAAAGAAAAACATAACCAGTTTGCGATTTGGCAGTATGAGGGTCAGACATATAACCTGCGTCTGAATACCCTGTCAAAGTTGTAACACCCCGTGTTACGACCCCTAAAACCAATTAATCATCTAATCATTTACCCAAAAGAAAGAATTAAATTCCAGTAATTAATTAAGAAAGGTCCACCATGGTCCATGGGCCTTTATCCCTAAAACCAATCCCCTAGTCCTATAGGAAATAGAATTAGCAAACCCATACCACTTGGACCCTAACTAGGACTCTTATATATATATATATATATATATATATATATATATATATATATATATATATATATATATATATATATATATATATATATATATATAGGGGGCCTAGGAGGCACTTAGAACCCACACCATAATAATCTCTCACCACACAAGAAGTTCCAAGAAATCCCCTAGGAGAAATCAAGAAAGAAGGAATCTTAAAGAAAGACCCTTCATAGCCAAGGAAATTAATTAAGGCTAAGAGGTAACCCATGTCTCAACAAAACATATTTTCCTTGCTATAATTATCTTCTTTTGCCTCCTCTCTATACTTGTGTCTTGATGAATCATTTATGATATTGATGATATGTTCTTGATGATTGTGAGATGATTTTATGTGTGATCTTGATGATCTTGATGATGATAAGAGGTTCTTGATGATTATGTGATGTTCTTGATGAATCTTGACGTTTTGGCAATTAAAAGATGAACTATGATTTTATTGATTTGAATATGATTAGAGCCCTAGGTTAAAATTGGGAATTCCTGTAACACCCCGTGTTACGATCCCTAAAATCAATTAAATCATTTAATCAATTAGCCAAAAGAAAGAATTAAATCACAATAATTAATTAAGAAAGGCCCACCATAGTCCACGGGCCCTTATCCCTAAACCCAATCCTTAGTTCCAAAAGGAATAGAATTAGCAAGCCTATAATTAGAGCCGTCAAAAATGGGTTTTTCCCGCGGGTCGACCCGTCCCGTCCCGCCGTAAGTAGGGGACGGGTTCTTCATTAGGTGACCCGCCAGGAGGCGGGCTTTTTAGCCCGCCCCGCCTTGGTCACGGGCTCAGGTGGGGCGGGTCGCGGGTTTAACCCGCGACCTGCTAACATTAAAAAAAAAAATTCACTCGTTCATCAATTCGCATATTCCTAATCCTTGAAGAGTTCACCGCTTCAGCCTTCAGGGAATTTCGAATTTTCAACTTTCCTCCCTCCATCGACCACCGCCATTCATCAATTCGCATATTCCTAATCCTTGAAGAGTTGAAGCTGAAGGCATCAGTAGTAGTGTAGTACTCAGTTTCGTGGAAATCCCCAACCCTAGAAGGAGTAGTATCAAGTATCAACCAAGTATATAAATCGCAAAAACGCAATGTCCCACTCCCCAAATCCCAATTCCCCCAAATCGGCAAACCATCCACAGTTCTTCTGCAATCTCGCAAGTCGCATCACACCGGTCACAGGCGAGCAGCGACAATCCTGCTCTTGGCTCTTGCAATCTCGCATAAGACACCTGCGGCGCTGCGGCAGTCCTTCTGCTCTTGTAGTCTCGCAAATCGCAATCCCCATCGGCAGTTCGGCACTCCACACTCGGCAGTCTAATAGGTTCTCCACTTCTGCAGTTCTGCTCTTGTAGACAGGCAGTAAGCCTCACGGCCCTCATCGCCTCACAGCCTCACAGGTATGTAGTATGTACTGGAGTTTCAAATTATTTAAATAAATTCAAAATTCCAAAAATATTTACTCTGTACAGCATGTTACTATCAATTGTTCAATATTATGTTCAATAGAATCAATACTATCTTAGTAATTAGTCTGTTATTTGTGACCTATGGTTTCAATTTTTTATTTATTTTTTTTTTTTTTGTAGATTAGTAGTAAAACGGTAGAAATAAGCAGTGAATCTAGTGATGGACTCATGTGGTTTGAACCAAACGGAAATGATTAACCAAACTACTGGCGTTAAAGGAGAGACTAATAAACAAAAAGGTAAGTCTAAAGTACGTACCTCAGATGTTTGGGAATTTTTTATAGATAAAGGAGTTGGTGAAGATGGGATACAAAGATCTGAATGTAAAGGTTGTACAAAAGTATTAAAATCTGGGGGTAAAGAATATGGAACTTCGTCATTAAGGCGACATAAAGATAGATGCAAAATGTTGAAATTGAGGTTCAAACATTTTGAACAAATGCATTTTGATCTTCAAGGAAAAATGAGGTCCAAGTTTAATCAAAAAGTATATCGTGAGATGTTAGCTGAAGCAATTATTGAACATGATATGCCATTTTCATATGTTGAGTATGCTGGTTTTAGGAAGCTTGCTTTGTATTTGAATCCTGAAATTCCTATTATCTCTAGAAATACACTTGTGTCTGATGTTAACAAAGTTTACATAAGGGAGAAAGGTAACTTGAAACAAGTTTTGAGGAATATTCCAAACAGAATTTGCTTGACTTCTGATTTATGGACTGCATGTACTACTGAGGGATATATCTCTTTGACTGCTCATTTTGTTGATGAACGGTGGAAATTGGCTAGTAAAATACTCTCTTTTGAAAAGATGCCTCCCCCCCATACGGGTGTTGTATTGGCATAAAAAATATATGGGTTGTTGAAAGAATGGGGGATTGAAAAAAAGATTTTTAGTTTGACATTGGACAATGCATCTAATAATGATTGCATGCAAGATATTTTGAAAGATAAATTATCTTTGCATGATAGCTTATTGTGTTATGGAGAGTTTTTTCATATTCGTTGTTGTGCTCATATTTTAAATCTAATTGTCAAAGAAGGTTTGAAAGTTGTGAGTGGTGGTGGTGGGTCATTGGATAGAATTAGAGAATCTGTGAAATATGTCAAAATGACCGAGAGTAAGAAGAAAACTTTTGTGGAATGTATAAATGAAGTAGGTAATATTGATACTAGTATTGGCTTGAGAATGGATGTGTCAACTCGTTGGAACTCTACATATTTAATGTTGGATAGTGCAATTAAATACAAAAGGGCTTTTAGTACTCTCCAATTGAATGATAGGAATTATAAGCATTGTCCTTATACTGAAGATTGGAAAAGAGCTGAGAGACTATGTGAGTTCCTCAAACCATTTTATAAAATTACCAACTTAATTTCTGGCTCTTCTTATCCTACATCAAACTTGTACTTTATGCAAGTTTGGAAGATTGAGAGAATGTTGAAAAATGGTTTGCATGATGAAGACTCATTGATAAGTGACATGTGTAGAAGGATGTTAGGCAAATTTGAAAAGTATTGGAGTGAATATAGTGTAGTGCTTGCTTTTGGGGCTGTCCTTGACCCGCGGTTAAAGCTTACTATGTTGGGGCGTTTGTATGATAAGGTGGAGGAAGATCCTATTAAATGCCAAGAGAAAATGTCACTTTTGAAAAGAAAATTGTACAAGCTTTTTGATCAATATGTTATTCCTAGCAAGTCGGGTACTTCACTCTCAGATTCTTCTAATGCCATGCATTCAAAAATGCAAAGTCAAGCAGGGATCAAAAATAAAGGGAAAGGGCTTTTTGATGTGAGTTTACAAATTCTTTATATATTAATCCTGCTATTTAATCTATATAATATAATTTGCTTATATAATATTATTTAATCTTTGTAATTTGCTTATATTGTGATAATATACTTTACATAATGTAGGATATTAAAGATCTTAGTAGTGAACCTGTCAGAACTGTTGAAAAATCTGAATTAGACCGCTATTTGGATGAAGGATTGTATGAATTAGCATATCATGAAGATTTGAATGTCTTGGATTATTGGAAAGGTCTTGCTCATGTATATCCAAACCTTTCGTTGATGGCACGTGATGTATTGGCTATTCCTATCACTACTGTTGCATCAGAGTCTGCGTTTTCTATTGGTGCTCGTGTGCGCACAAAATACAGAAATAGTATGTTACCTGAGAATGTGCAATCACTTATTTGCACTCGTAATTGGTTGCATGGTTTTAGTCTTGGTAAGCTACTAAACAATTATTTTTCTTTACATTTTCTTACTTAGTTGTTATTATTATTATTATTATTATTATTGTTGTTGTTGTTGTTGTTGTTATTATTATTTGTTTATTGTAATTTTACTTTTAAATATCATTTTTATATTTTTATGTAGACGATGAAGAAGGATTAGAAGGCTCTAATGAAGACTCAAATGTTGTCCAAATCAATGATGATAGAGATCAAGGAGAAGAAGACCATGATATTGATATGAATGATATAATGGTTGATGAATGTTGAGTTTTAGAAGTTTAGTACTTACAACACTATTTTATTTTAATTCTTAATGTTGGATAGAAACTTGAAAGTTTGAATAATTTCTTTTAGTTGATAGTTATTTTGCATTAATATTTAGTATTTAATGTATGTTATTACTTTTTAGTTAACTTAGTTTGCATAATTGCATGACATTGTTTTTATAAATTTACACAGTTACATACTTACATGTTGTATTTTTGTTAGTTAACTTAATTTTCAATAATTTAAAAAAAAATTCTCTTTACTGTAGTTACACTACTGCAGTACTGTGTAACTTACAGAATAACAATGCAAAATTTTTTTTTTAAATTACAAGAAAATATTGGCTTGCAGAGTTGCGGGTTGGCCCGCCCCGCCAACGGGCTTTGGCATGGCGGGGCGGTCCAGCCACATTCCAAGCCCGCTAAGAGGCGGGCTTTTTAGCCCGTCCCGCTACGGGGACGGGCTTTGGTGTGTTTTGGCCCGTCCCGTCCCGCGAGACCGTTTTGACGGCTCTACCTATAATATTAGTTCCTAACTAATTCTCCTAAATATATAAATAGGAGGCTTAAGAGGCACCTAGAAACCCCCCACCACAATAAACGTTCCACCACCCCAAAGAGCTCCAAGAATCCCCTTAGAAGAAATCAAGAAAGCAAGAAAGCTTAAAGAAAGACCCTTCATAGCCAAGGAATTAATTAAGGCTAAGAGGTAACCCATGTCTCAACAAAACCTATTTTCATAGCTATGATTCCCCTCTTAGGATTTCCCCATATTATTGTGTATTGATGATTTGTGTTATTATTGATGATTGATGGGATAATTCCATGGGTGATCTTGATGATGAAAGGTTCCTGATAATTATGGTGTTCTTGATGATTATATGACGTTCTTGATGATTATATGATGTTCTTGATGATTGTAGTATGTTCCTGATGTTTATATAATATTCTTACCGAATCTTGATATTAGAAGATGAATCATGACCTTGTTGATGTAAAATTGATTAGAACCCTAGATTGTATCGTATGGAATTATTCTTGGTATATTGGGTGGGAATTCGCATGATTGGGTGTTTATTATGTTTAGAAAAGCATGATAGGTTATGTGCCGTTGTTTCCTGATTTTGATCCGTTAATTGTCTACGTGTGTTATCAATTGCGTTTGAAAGTGTCTAAGCATGGTTTCGGGTTCCACAAAGCTTCACGGGGCGTTTTTGATGAAAAGAGTCAGTGGGGGGTAGGTGGGGGTAGGGGACCCGCCACCTACCCGCGGCCTCCTTGGGCAACGCCGGCAGCGGGCAGCCGGCCGGGCACCCGCTGCCCGGAATGGCTGCCGCCGGCGGGTGAACCCTCACCCACCGGCTACCCGCTGGTTTGCACCCCAATTGGGGATTTTGGCTTCCCCGTTTGATGTTCCCCCGACCTCCGTGGTGTCCCAACGGACTCCGTCTATCGTGCCTATGTCTAGTTTGATTTTCGGGTACCGTTCGTAGGTCGTATGGGTCTTATACATTGCATGCTAGTTGAATTGGTATCCCATTGACTTAGGTGAAAGAAGTATGAACCCCTTAGGACTATTCTTAGTATGTGAAGGATCACGCATAGGTTTTGTTATACGTTTTCTCCCCCTTCCCAATGTGTTAATGTGGGTTGCATGTGCATGTTACCCCGACTTGGTTGAGATCAATCGGGCTATACGGGCAGTCGGGTGGGCTGAGAACCATACCGGCTGTTAACCAGGTTGGTAGAGACCGATCAGGTATATAAATATTATATAGGACTAAGATCCACTATACGGGCAGTTGAATGGGTTGAGAACCATCCCAACTGTTAACCAGGCTGGTAGAGACCGGTCAGGTATATAAATATTATATAGGACAGAGGTCCACTATACGGGCAGTTGAATGGGTTGAGAACCATCCCAACTGTTAACCAGGCTGGTAGAGACCGGTCAGGTATATAAATATTATATACAGCTGCGGCTCATTGGTCGGTTGCAATCGACCCCTCCATGCTGTGAGACGGGGCAGGGTGCTGCGTGGCCGTGTCAGAGCTATATGCGCTGACCCTCATGTATGGGCATGCGATTGGTCCTGTGGCGCCAACAAAGTGTGCTATGTGATGAAGTATGGATGAGTTGTTGTTATGAGTATCTTGGGGATGAGACTATGAGATTTATACCGGGGATTGTATATGTTGGGTTATGATCATTAATTATGCTCATCTTATCTGTCTTGCCTGTTGTAAACTGTATATGCTCGGTATAACTGGTGTCTGTGCTTAGCCCTATCTGTTGAGTCTATCCCTGTTTTAAAAGCTAGAGTTCGTAGGAGATATCCTCATGTTCAAAATGACTTTTCATATATATATATATATATATATATATATATATATATATATATATATATATATATATATATATATATATATATATATATATATATATATATATATATATATATATGTATTGTATTTCAACGCGTTGGAGTGGGTTACCAGCATCTCTCGCTGAACAGATATATTTGGCTTTCAGGCACAGAGGAGTAGATCACTGGAGTGCGCTAGAAGCTTGGACGTAGCTTAGATAGTTTTTCCCCTTTCGGCTTGCGTGCCATGATTTAATATTGATACTATTTGAGGATATTAGTTAGTTAGCCTGTGCACCTGGGTTCTCCAGCTCAGGTGTGGCATAGCACCCCATACTCTCGTATTATGTTTTGAGATTTAATGAGATTTCACCTTTACTTTATAAGTTTTAAATATCCTGAAAATCTGGGGTGTTATAATTTCGTATTGTGTTATTCTTGATATAATTGGTTGGGATTTCGCATGTTCGGGTGTTGATTATATTTAGAAGTCGTGATAGGATATGTGCTATATGATTCTTGCTTTTGATCCGTTAATTGTCTACATGGTGTCATAAATTGCGTTTAAAAGTATCTAAGCATGGTTTCGGGTTCCACAACGGATCCCCGGACGTTTATTTTGAAAAGGAGTCAGTGGGGGGTAGGTGGGGGTAGGGGGACCCGCCACCTACCCGCTGCCCGAGAAGGGTGTCGCCGGCAGCGGGCACCCGTTGCCCGGAGACTTGTCGCCGGCGGGCAGCCGGCGGGTGCCCTTCCACCCACCGGGTACTCGCTGGAAATTGTCCACTTCGGGACCCCGGCTTCCCCGTTTGATGTTTCCCCGACCCTCGTGGTGTCCCACCGGACTCCGTTTATCGTGCCTAAGTCTAGTTTGATGTTTCGGGTACCGTTCGTAGGATAAATGAGTCTTATATATCGCATGCTAGTGAATTGGTATCCAGTTGGCCTAGGTAAAGGAAGTATGAACCCCTTAGGATTATTCCTAGTATGTGGATGGCCACGTATAGGTTTCGTTATACGTTTTCTCCCCTTTTCCCAATGTGTTAATGTGGGTTGCATGTGATTGCTATGTGTTATGTGTGCATGATACCCCAATTTGGTTGCGATCAAATTGGTTATTCATGAGTTGCGGTTCAGAAGCTGGATGCGGTCAGAATTACACTCTCGGGCTGTGGTCCACCGTTTGGTTGCGATCAAACGTTTTACATGAGCTGCGGTTCATATTCCTGGCTGCGGTCAGATGACTACTCTTGCGGTGCGGTTCATCGGTTGGTTGCGATCGACCCTTTCGTATTGCGATACGAGGCAGGGTGCTGCGGGGCCGTGTCAGAGCTATATGCGCTGACCCTCATGTATGGGTATGCGATTGGTCCTGTGGCGCCACCAAAGTGTGCTTGTGTGTGATGAGATACGAATGGGAATGATGATATGAATGAGATGAAGTGAATCTGTGACCATAGGATTTATGCTAGTATCTTTATATGCCTGTTTATAACTGTTGAACGTGCTTGCCCCTATCTGTCGAGTCTACTCTTGGTTTTAAAACTAGTGTCTCTTAAGTATATATCTTCCTGCTTCAAAATGGTTTTCGTATATATATATATATATATATATATATATATATAATGTATATCAACGCGTTGGAGTGGGTTACCGGCATCTCTCGCTGAACAGATATATTTGGCTTTCAGGCACAGATGAGTATACACTGGAGCGCGCTAGAGACTTGGAGCGTAGAGTAGATAGTTTCCCTTTCGGCCTGCGTGCCATGCTTACGCATTGACATTATTGAGAATTTTAGTTGGATAGCCTGTGCACCCGAGTTCTCCAGCTCAGGTGTGGCAAAGCACCCCGTACTCTTATGTTATGTTTTGGGATTCAATGAGAATTTACCTTTACTATATAAGTATTAAAAGTTTTAAAATCTCGGGGTGTTACAGTTGGTATCAGAGCCTAAGTTTGACCCTAGGATAAGACCTCGAAGATCGGACTTTAAAACATTAGGCTTGAACTCTAGGTATTTAAGTACATAGGACTTAGGAGACTTAAGACGCGTGGTGAGATTGTGAGTATACCCACCACCATCACATATTCCCCCTCACACTTGCTTAGATTAAAAGAACTTCCCCTCCGCTTATTGCACCAAGGTAAGGGTACAAAACTCTAACTCGACATTACTATAAACATTGGCCCAGTAAAACAGCAACATGGCGCCAAACAGAAGACAATCAAGGACTCCGGAACCCACCACACACGACCCCCTAACTCAAACCCTGCAGCAACTAACACAAGTCGCCCAGACACTAAGCGACGTAGCTCTCCGCAACAACAGACCCCCACCACCTACGTCAAACACGAACTCGGAAGTCGCCCGACAAGTTTCAAATCATCGACCACCCACGTTCTCAGGGGAAGAAGATCCCGTGATCCTTGAAGAATGGATCCGGACCTTCGACAAGATTCTAGGATTGGTAGAATGCCCACAGGAACGCCGTGTAGCGATAGCCTCATTCTATTTCGGACACGAGGCAGAACTTTGATGGATCCACGAGGGGCCGACTTACAGACTGGAACCAGGGTTCGACTGGGAAAACCTCAAAACACGATTACGAGAATAATTCTATCCAACACACGT